GCAATATCCTGTTGTGATGGTGGAGGGGGTAGAGGGGGTAGGGGGCGGATGAGAGCACTGGGGAAGGGAGTTGGGGGGGGTGGTGGGTGTCGACGCTCTATCAGTTTTGATAATAGTAAGCGCAGTAAGTGCTGGCAGGTTTAACGCACAGGTGCAAGAGCATCTCAACATTAGGGGGGGTTTAAAGGATAAAGGAAATCTGCTTTAAGACGGGGCAGTTAGTTTTGACAGTACATAATGTTCCTAAGCATCAATGGTAAACCTCGGATTATGGTGTCAGTTCCTCAGAATAATGGTGCAAGTTCTTCTTTCTAGAGCTGCCATTTTGGGCTTGCGCTCTGCAATCATACAGGGAGAAATCTGTCAAAGACGAAGCGGAGAGATCCTATTTCCAACCGCAGCCTCAGTTGGACCGTAATGCAATTGGACATGTATAAAACATTGAGTACAGTATAATAGGGAGGTTTAGGAGAAATAATTACCCCCAAAACAAAAAACAAACTTTTTGATGATGTTATGCTAAAAGATCTTTTCCCACCTCACCAGAACATTAGGTGAAAGAAGTGACCACCAGCATGTTATTAAAAAACACTTTTAAAAGAAGATTAGTTTTGAGCATTAGGGCATTAGCTGCTGCAGTGATGGATTAGGGGGAATAGTCATTATAAACAAGAGTTAAATGTTGCAGTTGTAGCTAATGACCAGCGGAGCGCTTTGGCCTGTTGGGAAGGTGCTGATTAAACAGGATCATTGAAGAAAGTGCACGGTGGGGCGGCTGGGTCGAGGCCAGGGGCCATAACTGGAATTCCTCAGGAAAGTAAATACAGAACAGAGAGTAGAGGAGCCTCTTTCTCTCACTATTGTGTCTATATATCTGGGCTTGAGAGCCTGGAGATGTGTCACACCTTATGCACTCAGTCATTTTCTGTTTTAGCAGGCTGGTGTTTTAGTATCTCGCGGTTATCGAAATGAGGTTTCAGGGCTTCACCACTCTGTAAGCCATACAGTTCTGCAGCAGACAGTGATTCCTTTAAAAGCCCAACTGAAAATAAATTGCACGTTTTTTTTTTCTGCTGCATCATACAGATCTGCTTTGTGAATTGTATGACATGTGCTGTTTTTAGAGGAAATATTATCTACTTTAAAAGGAAGCATTTGTACTTTATAGTGTTTTTGTTTCACGAGCATTCAGTGGTCAGAATGCTGCTCTTTATGTCAAGTCATTTTCACCTCATTGGTTAACAGACAGCCAGTGCCAATAGGTCAGAAACCTCAGACTTTGACTCGTGACCCACATTAGCTTTGTGGCTAATGACTATTTCTTATCTATCTATGTCTTGCAAAACACCTTGGCATGCTGGACAAGCTTGCAGACAAACATCAGGGGAAACTGCACTGTTTGCAGATTAGACAGCTCATTACCAGGTCAGCTATAGCATATTAAACAGCTTAAAACCAGTCAAGATCGGTCAGTATAGCTGCTAGTTACCAGCAGAGATTATTTGCATTATGTCTCTTTTTCCCTGCCGGCTCACCTGTCAAACTACAGTGGCGGCAAAACACACAACATTGCTGTTCCACATGACTAGTTCTAAGGTATCAATTTTGTTTTACTAATTTTCAGGTGATTATACACTAATGAAAACATACCTAAGAATATTATATTCCACATGTTACACACTGGACTTTAAAAGCAGCAGTTGATTTTTTGTTTTGGCCACTAGGGGCGCAGTGGAATAACATGTTAACACAACATTGACATTGTTATGGATAACGCCTTGGCAAACAGTTACTTATATACACCCTCAGCGAATAGGGAGCAATTTGTTTGGAGCGACGTCTCTTGGTCATCTGGTGAATATCAGGCCAATGCTCACTTTTCTGTTAGCTCCTTTTTGGTCTCCACCCTCTCCTGACTGAAATATGTGGCTTTTAGCTTATAAATCCTCCACTATGTTCGCTACGATGCTAAGTAGAGTTTGCCGGGAACTGCAGAGTTGTGTGATAATTCTCTGTGGATTCATCACTACCATCGCCCCCTTTCTAACTACACAGTAATTTGATCCATTGTTTATATAAAAATATTGATTGGTGCTGCTTTAAGTTCTCTGTAATCAAAGTAACCATTTTCTTGCTGCAGCCACAGTAAGACCGTATCAGTAACAGCCTTCAAAAGCTCATTCAGTCCAGCTGTCGTCCTAACGCTGTCAGTTATCTGCACAAAGCCTTCATAGACCCAAAAACGGCTATAGGCATCACCACACGCCATAAAACTCTGCAGAGGCTTTAGTTAGAACTGGTGGGGAAAGAGCCAAGCTAAGCACTTGCTGGGCTGGAACTCACAGGCCTTTTTTTTTTTAGGAAGAAGCCACAGTTAGATCTTGGATCAACATGTCATCTTTTTTTTCCACGAGTGGACAAGCGTCTGATACATCCCTCTACCGGCATGTTTTTATTCAGCCCCCCAGTGCCCCACACTGCAGCGCACTCAAAACATCCCCTGTGTGTGTCTGAGTGTCCTGGCGGCTGGGTGTGTGATGTTTGCATGTGTCTGGTGAACTGCACTTAGACACACACCACCATTCCCCTATTCAGCGAGGGGGAATCATGAGGGCAGTTTAGACATTTGAGTTATTTTGTGATTGTACAGCTATTTAGCGTAAGGAATGGGGGGGATTTTAAACCTGATAAAGTCTGGACATGCACCTGTGTTTTGTTATGGCAGCCATATTGTCATTTAACATGTGTATTTTAGGTGATAAGTGAACTCAGTTTAGCTGGCCATTGGAGAGAGAGCACCATAACCCATAAAAATCCTATCTACAGATGGAAAGGCTTGACTTTTGCTGTCAGTTTGCCAGTCAAATCTTTTATTGGCCGCTACAGTGCCGTTTTTGGTGGAAGGATAGAAGATATTTTTATTCCTCTTGAGTTACAGTCTCCAGCCTGGATTCCATATAATGTGTGCAATAAACTAAGTCAAGTTTTAAGTAATCATCCATTTTGTGACTCTTTATCTTCAGCTGATAAAAGACAATAGTGATTTGATCTGTAGTCAGTTCATAAAAGCTTTTATAACGGCTGTTTGAAACCATAGACTGTTAGGAACCATGCAAATAGTGTCTGTGACATCACTCACATGTGTGCTGCTTTCTGCTATCTAACTGTAGCTGGAGCCAAATTTGGGTAGAGGACAGAGTCTGAGTGTAGGAGAGGGACCTGTCAGTCAAGGCCTTAATAGCCTCTTTACGATGAGTCCCTGCCAAGACAAACTGTAGAAAAGGGAAATTGAGTTCTTAAGAAAAAACTTTTATGCATTAGAGAAACTATAGACACTTTTTAGATTTCAGTCTAAAAGTACATATGTCGTGTGCATATCAAACCCCATGTCAGCACCTAGGGACAATGCTAATGCTAACTACCACCATTATCCATAAATGGTGTCAATACATCTTTCCTTGCACCGCCCAATCAGCCTTTGTGTCATCATGCACCTATTTACATTACGATTGGACAACATGTTCATGATTCATAACAATATTCCCTCTGTACAATGAGGGGCTTTTGAGCGTAAAAGTAAATTATTGACTATGGGAAGAGTAAATAATGAAACATGAAGTCCACTTGCTGGCTTTTTCAGAACTTTAAAGTATGGAACATTGGTCATGTGGTAAACATGGTCTTAACTCATGTGAAGTGTCTTTTAGTTTCTTGAAAAGAGCTCTATAAATTAAATGTAGTAGTAGTAGTAGTAGTAGTAGTAGTAGTAAAAGGGGGTCGTATATGAACCACATCTGATGGACACTGAACTCAAATTAACAAATATTCCGTCTCAGATGGTTTCCTGCTCTCTGCTTCATCACGCTGAACTCAGCTGAGACACATGATGTAAAGCATGCATTACACAGCGTCTGTGCCAGATGTTGAATTGCCTGAAAAACGACACTTTTGAAGAAGTTGATTCAGCTATGCTGCTTGATTCAAGTGACGTCTGGGAAATGCAGTGAAACAGCAGTGAGCTTTCAACACCAAGAAAGGAAACACAATATAAATAAAAATGAGGAACTGTGTGTCTGAGATCTCTCAGACACACTGAATACAATATACTATATGAATGGGGTATTTTGGTTGAGAGTGAATGAATCAAACTTTATGAAATTAGACAAATAGCTCGGCACTTTTGATCCATGTCACCATGAAGAGCAAATTCATGCACAGGCGAAGCATCTTTATTCATCAGGAGAGGTAACGTCAAATGCAAGAAAGTGCATCGTCATGAAGTAAGCCATCCATAAACATGACTGTGTCTCCAGCGACTGTGTGCTGACTGGCATATCTGAGGGGTGCCTGGGGTGTCCTGGGAGGGAGCAGAAGGGGGTCACCTGGGGTAGAGCTCAGCTGCGTTGCTGCTGGCTCTGAATGAGTGTCAGTGGGTGATAAGGCTGAAGGGAGTTTCCTAGCCTGACTTAGTGTTCAGCTTAGCCAGTCATTTTATTCTTTATTTTGGAAAAGACAGGCCAGCAGAATCCAGAGACCCTTCAGGCTCACCTTGGATTGAAAAGCAAGGCAGATCTGGAGATTTATATGAGTGTGCAGAATTCAGCGGTACGTTCTTTAAGGTACATACTGATAAGAGTATTTTTTATATCAAAGCTTTCCGATCTTTTTTTGTGTTGACTTTAAATGTTTTCATGTCCTCAAGATGAGCTTCAAACTAGATATATGCCATGCTGAGACAAACGGTTCCCCGCATTCTTTCCGAGAATGAGATGAGAAGATAGTTATCAACCTCATATCTGTACTTAAAGTTCAGAGCTGGAACCCGGGAGTTCTCTCTCCTGATTGGATAAAGTGGGAACGCGATACCAGAAAATGTGTTACTGCAGAAAGGAGAGACTGC